ATGGCTTTTTTAGTATAAATGCAAATTGTAGATGCTGTGATTGAACTTGTAAAAATTAGATGATGAAATAGGAAAAAATAATAAAATAAAATTCTTTCTTAGTTATTAATTATTTTAAATAAAAAAAGTTAATGTCTTTTTACAACTATCTAAACATGGTATAATAGATTTATAACGGTGTTACTAATAAAACATCCTTTAGAAACTATTATCACTTTCATTAAAAACAATTTATAATAAATTATTTATAATCAATTTTTTCAAAAAATAAAAAATGTTTTTTTTCCTTGAATAAACACCCCTATTAGTTTGAAACAAAACCTATACTAAAAAACGCCATAATAAAAAAAAGTCGAAGTGTTCTTGAAATCCTATTTTGACTAAGAATCGGGATGAGATTCTTACAAACCCTTCAATATATTCAATATAATTATAAATATAAATAGAATATAAACTTCAATATATTCAATATAATTATAAATATAAATAGAATACCAGAATAAAGACCATTCCCTAGAAAAATCAAGACACTAAACTCAACTTTGTTTTTCTTTAATTCACGGGGCCTTCTTTTTATTTTTATTTTCTTTATTTTTTATTTATAATCTTTTTTTTTTAATAATCAAATAGTATATAGTCATGCGTTTCTATGTAATAAGAATAATAAATTAAAAAATCTAAAATAATTTAAAACAAATAACTAAAAAATAAATATATATTTATATATGTAACAATTAAATATAAATGATTAGTTATTTATTTTTAAATGATACAGGTTGATAATATATATATATATATATATATATATATATATATATATATATATATATATATATATATATATATTAGCCGTTTACCCGCGCTAAGCGCCGGGCGACGAAAAGTTTTTTTCGGAAGATAGTTTCCTTTAGACGTGAGTTATTCATTACGGCCATTTGGTAGACTATTATGTGTCGAATAGTTCATTTCAACAAATAGTTTCTTGCTAGGTGTATAGTCATACAATACGATAAAAGTTAGAGTCTACATCTCAAATAATTCATCTGATAGTTCATACTTGATTTTAACAATATATAAATAACAACAATCTACAACCATATAGTTTTGTACATTTATAACATGTCTAATATATAAGCTACATCAATCTGTAATCATGTTGCTTCATCTGCTAGCCCTGCATTAAACATTAAATAAGCATCTAAGATACATATTTGAAGAAATTGTATAATAATAAGTTGTTGATTGTACCTTGTTAATCACATCACACTTCTTTGTACACAACGTTTGATGTGTAGTTTCCATCATTATGAAACGTTTTTTCCGGCTTTACTAATACCTTGGTATTGACACGTGATATTCCTCTGGACAACGCACATAAAGCTGGTCATGTGAGAATACCGATTCTGGTAGATAAACACCTATATTTGGAATTGTTTGTCCTTGAGCTTTATTGATTGTCATAGAGAAACTAAGTTGAATTGGAAACTGCTTTCTTTTAAGTTTGAATGGGAACATCTCATCGTCAGACGGACATAGAGGAATTCTTGGTAAAAACACTCTTTTTCCAGCATGTTGGCCAACAGCTATCTCTGCATCAATGACATTTTGTTGGAAAGCTCGACATATCAATCTGGTGCCATTACATAACCCATTTGAAGGATCGATATTTCGCAAAAGTATTACAGGGCACCCAGTTTTTAACCGAAGATAATGAGGGGGTACACCACTAACATTTAGCGAGTTCAAATACTCCATCGGATATAAGTTATTTTTGTCATCTTCCGCTTCATCAAAACTATAGTAAACTTTTTGCTCGCCAGAAAATCGTTCGATCAACTTATTATTAATCTCATCAACACTTTCATTTTTAGTTGACAATATCGCTCTCGAAATGATAAATTTTGAATCGGCGCCGTTGGATTGCAAAGAAGGAAATATTGCATCAATCAGAGCGTCCACTGATTTAGTTTTATCAGTGTATCGAATGGACATGTTATCAGGTATACGAATATAGGACTCGTCCAATGTTTCCTCCTTTCCATCACCGACTCGTAATAAAAAATCAGAAAACCACGGGTCATTTACCGCTCTCATGTTGATATTAATCGAAGCCTTTTAACTGAAGCCCATAGAGGTGACATTCGTAAGCTAGAGTCGACAATTTGTGCTCGAGTGCCACGTCTCACGACCGGCAACACTTGTCTAAAGTCACCTCCCATAACCATTATCTTTCCACCGAAAGGGAGCTTCTCATCTGTGATGTCTTGCATTGTCCGATCAACTGCTTCTACTGCCTGCCTCTTAGCCATTGCTGCTTCATCCCATATGATTACCTTTGCCTCGCGAAGTATCTGAGCCTTCCCACTTTGTTTAGTGATCTTGCACATCGAGTTATTATCAAGATTGAGCGAAATTCCAAATCGTGAATGAGCTGTTCTCCCTCCTGGCATGTTGTTAGCCGCAACACCTGACGTGGCAGTTGCAAGTGCAATAAGACCACGGGCACGAATATTAGCCAACAAAGCTTTGTACAAAAATGTCTTTTTCAGTTCCACCAGGACCATCTATGAAGAAGACACCCGGGATATTTTGATCCGCATGCCTCATTATCTCATCATATGCAAACTTCTGGTCTGGATTGAGAGAGTCTCGCGCATGTAAGTCTTCATATTCCACATTTATAGAGTATTCTTCTTGTACCTCACGATAGCCTCTTGATTGTAAATCGATGTGTGCACTGATATTTGGAAGGTCGTAATCACTAAGCTTTTTAGTCATAGATTCTAGGAAGACTCTAATGTCGATGAGGACCATATTTTGCACTCGCTCGGCGCATCCATATTGTTTCCTATAATCTTCAGAAAGAGAATCATAGTGGTCGTCCCATAACTTGCGAACATTTCCTGGTTCACAAAAAATCAGCATCGTCGCAAATAACCTTCTAAGTGCACTGGGAAATTGAAATAAGGAAGTCTCTTCAAGACACTGTGATAAATTATCATCCGTCTCTATTAAACCTCTTTCAAGAGCTGCTTTTCGAAATGTAGGGTGTAATACACCATTGGCTGTGTATAAATCTTCAAAGCAGGTAGGCCCGGTGATATGACATAAAAGCAGGCGTAGGTAGTATCTCTCTCCTTCAGCTGGATTAGCATAAACAAGTCGACCAACCATTGATTTATGTTCCCGGGTCCTCCAACAATGGTTGCTCCGATTCCATGTAAAATGTTTGGGAAAATCCTTATACAAATATTCTCTCGCTTTGGAATCTTCTTTATTCTTCTTGAAAAATGCCGTCAACATTGAATCTTTTTCTTTCTCCCTATCAACAATGTCTTCCATTCTGTCACCGTCTTTGAACCTAACCAACTGTTGCTTCGGGAGATGTATTTGCAAGGCCATCACACAAGGGTGGATTTTTGAAAGAGGAAAGCTAAAAACTCGCCATAATGCCTCGGGAGGGGACACATAACGTGCGTCTTGAAACTTTTTTATCTCATTAATAACAACATTTTCTTGGTCTTTATCAATATGGATAACTTGTTTGTCATGGCCCTTATAAACATATTTGAAGAGGTACTTCACAGACTTTATACTCGAACAAACCTCAACGTTGATATGACAATTAAACATCATTAACAACTTCGGGTTGTATGGAGCCACCCATCTGTTATCCAATGATGTATTTCTTACAGTAACCTCAATTCCATTATTTCTCCTTCTATATAATGGATATGAGTCCTCTCCTTGTGATGTCTTTTCATTGAATTGCCTAGGATATCTGAAACGACATATTTTTGGCACACCCTGCATACACGAACTTTTTTCTTGCAAGCTACCACAGGGACCGTGCATCATGTGACTTTTGACAAGATCATGCATTTCAGGAAACCTTATTGGGTCGGGAATTTCCGCACACACAAGTTTGTCATAATCGTCTGGATTATTCATCTTATATCCAGGGGTCATTATTAAGAGGAAATATGCATGTGGCGATCCACGCTTTTGAAACTCTATCACATACACATATGACCCCACCACACCGATTATATGTCTCTGCAATAACTGTACCTTGAGATCCTCTAACTTAGCATGAAAAACTCTTGCAACAAGGTCCGGTCGATCTTGAGCTGACTGTCCAGGCAATAACTCATCATCAATTTCTTTCCATTTTAGGTTGCACGTCATTATAAGAAATATATCAGGCCTCCCATCATCTTGAACTAAAGCCATGGCATCCAGAAATCTTCGGCGCATGTCACGTGGACCTCCAATGAAACTTGCAGGTAACACAATCTGTCCAACCCTACTTGGTTGAGCCTCACCGGCATTGAAACAATCAACAATTCCCTGGTATAAATCAGCTCTAATTTTGGTTTGGTTCTTTTCAACAAAAACCAAACGTGTAGTCTCAATCTTTATATAGGTATCTACTGCAAACTGCTGGAACAATCTCCCTCCCATCAAAATCACATTATCATTCGACCGTATCTGGAACTTGTAACAATAGTACTCCCGCATACTTACAGTGTTTCTGCCTTTTTTTGAAGTAGATCCTGTGATATCATAATTTATGTGAAAAATATAAATTTAATATCCAAATATTTAAGGCAATACCTATTACATGTTTTAAATATGTAAAAGAATGTTAAAGGCGTACCTTCTGAACCTTCATCATTGTCTTCATTGTCACTATTAATTTCATCCATGGCCACCCCATATCTTGGTATTTTAGGATGCCATCCAGACTCACCATTGGGAAAGAATAAAGGATACGACAAAGGATCATAACAACCAAAGTGAGGTTGAATTTCAGTACTATAGTTAGACCTCCCGTAGACAATAATACTTCTTTTATATGCAGTGATGTTGTCATTTCCTTCAACCCAAATACCAGCAACCTATGCAAAGGTGTAGTTCAATATGGTGATTAATATGATATCTATAATTATAAATATGAGACATTTAATTTTAAAATGAATAAAGTTAAATGTTACTATTCACACCTCAGATGTGGTAGGCTTATTGTACACCCTTTGGTCAAGCTCCACCGATGCATTCAAAGTCACTCTATAATTATCAAGCGGTCCTAGATCAGATAGCTGTTTAAATGTTCTAACGTACGGATTCGAAGCTAGAATACGTGTTAGTTTTTGGATGATTCTTCTATCAACATTCTTCCAGGAGGATCTCTGTGATATTTCAGCTTCACCGTCATAAAAATACAACTGTAAATACCTCGATTTACCATCCCTTGAAATTAACTGATCGATATTATGATAGAGTGTTCCGTGCGCACAAAAAGTGTAAAATCCAGAATTCATATTGGCCAATTCTTTATCCAAATTTACACCTAGTGATGCGAAAGAAAAGTTTGAGTTATACGCCCTTATATTGTACCTGAAGCTTTCTTCTAGCTGCTCTTGCCTTGTGAAGAGTTGGTGCAACTCTGTGGGAATAGGGGAGTGTGCCAGTTTTATCTTCCCACTCATGCAACAAAAGGTAGGGAATTCATATTGTAGTCGCTTTGCTCCACAATAAACACAAGGGTTTTGAGCCTTTAATATACGATGTTCCATACGGATATTTTCGTAAACAAAATCATACGGATCCTCTTGAAAGGCGTATACTCTTCTTTTTGTCATCATAGTTCGTTCCTTTCTTCGTTGATAATATTCTTTATTATAAGTACTCGTCCTCTGAGCAGCACTTATAACACTCACAGAGGAATCTTCGTTCATATTTGTTTCGTTTGTCTCCATTGTAGTGCAACTTGTGAGTGCTGTAGGTTGACTACATCCTTCACCGTTAGCTATCCTTCTCTTTTTGTTTTTCTCCTTTTTTCGTGCATAATAGTTTCTATTGTATCTTTTTAGATTTTCTACAAACATATTATTTGGATAAATAGTTATATATTATAAATGAAAACATATACTCATATAAACGACATACCTTTTTCTATATCTATCGGGTTTTGGGAATCATCACAGTTTTCGTTTCCCTTATCTACAGTTCCCATTGAACACTATAATGGAAATGTTAAGAATAAGCACATATTATATCATCAAGAATGTAACATTTTGTAATGTAGACCATGTGATTTAGTAGTCATGTATGTGTGTGTTTCAAAAAGCAACACAACCCTTAATAAATAACCAAATATACTAACAACTTGTAATCCAAAAGCACAATAGAAGAAAGTTATACATAATTAAAAGAAAATTTCCATAGATATCCAAAAATTATTATTTATCAATTTATAAGTCAACACAAGAAAAATAAACCATACATGAAAAAATTCAACATAATATGTCTAACATTAATGTAGATCAACAATAAAAGCAACGCACTCGTAAAAGTTGTCAAAACTTCAAAAAAAAAAAAAAACACCACCAAATGTCTCACACGGAATTAAAAATTCTTCTAGGCATATTTATGATGTTAAATGCTTCCAGCATCCGCGGTTGGAACTCTACGTTGCTTAGTTTGGTTGATATCAAAATGTTCACTGAAAATAAGATAAAAATTATTAAAATGTATTGATATAGGTATTTTAATAGCACTACAAGTACTATAATTTTCTAGAAAAAACTTACTTGAATCCAAATGAACCAATTTCACCCGAGAAACAAATACTATATACTTTCTCTCTATTGCATAGACAGTCCTCAAAATTTGATAGCGTGTTCGGTCGGTTATATGTAGTTTCATCTTTATTATACTCCCTCTATTTATAATCAAATATTTCCAAAGTCACCTAATTTTGCTTTAGTGTAATAATAATAATAATAATAATAATAATAAAATAATAATAATAATAATAACAACAACAATAATAATAATAATAATAATAATAATAATAATAATAATAATAATAAGAAACACTTACGGCCCATCTTGGAGATATAAAGTGAAAGAAGTTAACGTCAGTAAACCAACGTAATGAGAATAGTTTCGCTTGTCTCTGATGATTTTTCCAACAATATCTAAAAATAACGATAATTAAAAGGACAACTTGTTATTATTTTAAAAACTTTAGAATGCTAAAAATATATACAATTTATTAAATTTACCGATCATCATTTTTCTCTCTGTCCGATCTTCTACTAAACTTTTTATTGAGGGAACCAATGGGAAAACCGGAAACCATGATATGATAGCATCGGCCAAACGATTAAACTGTGTGTTATTGCTGATTTTAATCATCAAATCACCACGTAATAAACTGTATTCTTGATATCTCGGATACTCAGCATAGGTTGGTTCGATTTGGAAATGGTTTAAAGAAAACACACCACCCAATAGATTCCCTCCATAAATAAAGCGCATCATTTGTTGTGGAACAATTGCTAACAATTTCTCTCTCTAATAAAAAATGTAATATTTTTATAAACAAAAATACTTGTGATAAATTATGAAAATGAAAATAAGATATAAATATTTTTTTAAACATATATTTTGATCAATGAGAACCATGAAGAGTTTGTTTGCTCTTGAGTCCCTCCAAATGAAATCAACACGAACGGATGTCAAAACATACCACAAATGGTAGTTTAGTAGCAACGAAAATGCATCAACGTAAATATGACCATTCATGATTCTACAAAACGAAAGTCGGATGTGATTGATGTAGAATTGATTTATTTAATTATTTGTATTAAAAACTATATTGATTTGAGATGCCCAAAGTATAATAACATATGTATCGTACTTTTGAAATATCCAAGCAATAAGAGTTTTTATTACATGATTTATTTATTAAATATTACAGAAAACCTAAAGCATATATTAATAACAAATATTAATAAGATTTATTTGATATGAATTGTAAGATTTAAAAAGTTTAATAACAAATATTTAAGTAAATAATGGATGTTACAAAAAGTCAAAAACAAATTTCGCAAGACTTTGATTTAAATAGAAGATTTTTTAATACTAACATGAAACACAATGTCCTATTTCACAAGATTTTTTTAGTACTAATATGAAACACAATGCCCTATTTCAAGCCCGTGTGCTGATGTTATAATGATTGTGTCTATTTTAAAGTTTTTCGTATATTTGCAACATAAAATATTTAAATTTAAATGCATGAAAAAAGTTATGGTTATTTGAAATCCCGTTGCATAAGTTTGATCTTGTTATTTTGTAGGTCACAAGTTTCTTGTTTTAACATATTTTAGATATTGTTAAAATTGATATATGTTGCTAGATTATGTTTTACAATCATTCAGTTAGTATTTATTATATCACCGGCAAAACTTCCTGTATTATCTATATTATAAAAACTAATTTTAATAGTTTTCTTTGAACTTAAAACTTTCTACACTCACTTATAAAAAAAATTACTTACAGTTGGAACATTATAATATTGTAACCAATTTATCAACAAGTTTGAAGTAAAATAGCTTTATATATCCTACAACTTAGTATTTAGTAATTCAAAATGAATGTATGATTCAGTCAAACTTATTTGACAGGGTGAAATATCAATTAATGGAAAAACTTAATACATATTGGTTTTTTTTTTCCGAATGAATGTATGATTCACTCAAACTCAAACTCAAAAACACAATATCCCAACTTATACATATACAAACCATAACATATGTACAATGCCAAAAACAAATACATACACACATATATACAAAATATATACATGTATTATTTGAGATAAAGAATAAGAAGATTGATCAATTTAGATAGAAGACAAACAAATACATACACACATATATACAAATTATATACATGTATTAATCAATTTAGATAGAAGACAGAATAATATTAACAGTTGAAACAAAAGAAGTTTATCACTTCAAATAGAAGTAAGAAATAAAATATTATACACATTTGAAGTTACAAAATATAAAAGAAGTAAAGAGAACCTGAATTCGTGTCAAGAAACGCGATGAAGCAATGAAGCAGTCTTCCCGATTCCAACTCAATGATCAAATCGTCCCAAAACCTCAACTGTGAAATTTTGCTGTGAGAGAAAAATGAAGAACATAACTTAAATTTATAGGTAGAATAATCTGTTATAGAATAGAAAATGCTGTATTTTTGGATATTGATAATCATTCCAAAATTAAGCAAATTAAAATCTTACCATGAATATTAAAATCCATACCAAAAATATTTAAAATCTTACAAAATTAACAAATATACTAATTATCAAAATCCCTACCAAAAATATTTTCAAATCATATCAAAGTTAACAAATATACTCAAAAATTTAAAAATGAATATAATATTTGTCAATTTTATTTTTGGAAATATATTGTAATCTAAAAAACAGTTTAACAGATCGGCAGTCAAAACATATAATTAGGTCACTTAATCTTTTGCACATTACAGAATTAAAAAGTCGATACCTGTCATACAGAAACATAATAAGTGAAAAAAATATATTTTGGACATAGCCTGCAGATAGCAAACTGCAAGTCTTTCATTTTTTCATTTTCTGTTTGCTTACATACAAGTATCGAATATTTTCAACAAATGGGCAATACCCCTAATGATGTGTCAAAAGATCAACATAAAGAACTGCTTAAATTTATTCAAATTTAAGCATTGAGTAGTTGATAAATTGACTTATAAACATGAAATTATATTTCCTCTTACTCAATTCTGAATATGAATTATAATGATGTTATGGTTGCTCTTGAGAAATTTCAGTTTTCTTTTATAAATATAAAACTGAGATTTGGTGATTAGCTACTTACCAGATATGTTTTCCCATAGAGAAATATGTACATTGTGATCACTGTTAACTGTATATCAAAACATAAAAGTTGTTAGCTGTTTTTTTTAAAAGTAATATGAATTAATAAATAAATAAAGGTGTAGTGTACCATGGTGCACAAGTAAAATCCAACAGTAGTAAAGTAGAATGAAAGCATGCGGAAGAAGTCAAAGAGTTGACCAAGTCTGTATATTTCTCTACTAAGAACCTGCTCTCCATTTCCTCCAGCTACTTTTCATTCAAACAGAGCAATCTGATTCAGCCCCACATCTTTCCCCTTTCCAACCTTCACAACATTTAAATAAATAAAAAAAATTAAAAACTACTTCTTCTTTTTTTTTTTAATACTTTTAGAAGGGAAAAAGTATTTTTAACAAAAATATCAAATACCTGGATGTATTCATGATGCGTGATATTTCCTTGACGCAAAGTTGAATTAAAACATGAATTTTAAAGGTGACATTAGATATATTAAAAAAACAAGAAAACAAGAAATAAAGAGAGAAAAAATTATTATTATTATTATTAAATATATATACCTGCGTAAATATCTTCACTAATGTTGATGACACGAGAGGCTTTGCTGATACCACCTCGTGTTATATGGAAGACTCTATCAAACACATCGGGATGACCATAATGCATACGACCCTGAAAAATAATTTAAAATCAACAAAATGACAAAAATACCCCTGGGAACAAGAACATATATCGCTTGAATAGAAAAGTCAAACTTACTTTAGAGGACTTGCAAGAACACGTTGCCCAAGAGTTACAAAACTCGTTTCTTGATTTGACGTGAAGGATGCTAAAGAAGAGACACTGCATATATGAATCAAAAACATTAAAACTTTCTGTATGTGTGTGTTAAATAGTAAATACATTATTATTTTTTATTTATAATTATAATTTTATACCTTCCCTTAAAAACATGTTCCCTGACACCAAGAATGGTAGCAAGACGGATACCATGATTCTCATGGAATTCTTCTAGAAGATTCCTCATCTTTAAAGCTTCTTCAAAATAATTATCTTGATTCATGTCAATTGTTTGAACAACATTTCTACGTGTAAAAACAATCGCATGATTTTGATTTTCAGGTTTTCCTTCACCAAGCTTCGGATTTCCTGGCAATTTTATAGAATAAACTTCCTTCATGATAATTAGCAATTTACATCAAAATTAAGTATGATATAAGTAAATAACAAAAAAATATATATAGTTAAGACTCATAGAAAAATATGAACCTTATCTTTCCCATTGATGTCACCCTTCACAAGTTTAGAGTAAAACTCTTTCTGCACTTTCCCATTGTGCTCTTGCTTCAGGAGAAAACTCAAAGCCTTTTGTTTCTGTTGCTTCATTAGGTGGAACAGCAGCTTCCACACCAAGTGTAATATAAGTATATTAGAAAATAGATTAAAATAAAAATTAAAAAATATTACTTTTAAAACAAAAACCTCCAACTGTCATCTTCTCCAGATAGGCTTGTAACATTAAAGTTTTCCTGTAATACATCATTCCTCGCACTGTATATGGTACAACATACAAAAATTAACAAAAACAACAATGTAGCCCCATCCAAATGATGGAAATAAAACACTTCTATCAAAACAGAGGAATTACCTGATACAACACAAATTGTAGTTGATAGATCTTTCTAGTTGTTATGTTGTTATCTCTAGTAAGCCTCACGTCTAAGAAGCATTCATAGTTCCCCAAAACTATAGCTTTTCTCCTGTCAAATCCAATAATTTCTGCATGTTAGATTTAAATTCGATGGTAGTAATACAAGTTAAATTTATGGCTGGAAAACAGTGTAAGGAAGTGCCTGATGAAACATGACATTCATCAAAATATAAACATTTTGCAGAAAATTAGCATTGAAAATAGATGTAATTAGGCATAATAGTTTGTAAAGACAATTTTACTTATAAATGCAATTCATCGGGTGTAAGGACATCGGTTTGGTAACTTTTTAGAATTAATTGATGGGTTCTGAAAACATTGCTATTGTTCATAAAATCTACCTTTAGTAAAACTGAAATTAGTGAACAAAACCAAAGTCACAGGTTACCAAACACGAAAAGATGTTGCATCAATCTGTTCTATAGCACCAACTTGAAAACCAAGTAACCCCAGATGCTTTAAACTACTAATCGGACGTGGAAGCAATTTTGGATTCTTTTCTGCAACCAAAAAATGTGAGATAAAAGTTAGATTTTAACTTACCCAATAAACATACCCCATTGTGCAAACTCCAGTTGAGGAGAGCATAAAAAAAATGTATTATCATAAATATGTTGAATATGGGTTTGAGGGTACCTGTGGTGGCTGAGGGAGGTTACGAAGGTGGTGGTAGGCGGCGAAATCAAGCTTTAAAGGTGGTGGTAGGTGGTGGAATCAACTATTGAAAGGTCCGTGTTTTACTGAGACCTGATTAGTCATCAGCAACGGCGTCTCGAGATGATTGATGCAGATCTTTAGGGTTTTTCAAGATCGAATATGCTAAGACCTAATTCGTCGTCAGCAGCGGCATCCTCCTCCCCTCCGTGTTCGGGATCTTTGATAGCTGATACCTGAGACCGTGTTAGGGTGAAAATCGAATGCGGGGAAAGGGGCATCTTTGGTGGTGTCGATGTGAAGATGGGTTTGAGGGTACCTGTGGTGGCTGAGGATGTTACGAAGGTGAGATGAATGGGTTAGATGTCAGATCTTTAGGGTTTTTTGAGGATTGAAGATGCTAAGACATCTGTTAGGGTGAAAATCGAAGGCAATGAAAAGGTTTATATTGGAAACGCTGGAGATCCACCATGTTAAGAACTCGACTGCTTGAAGGTTGATGATCAGATTGAGGATCGAAGATGCTGAGTATCATTAATCTGTCCTCATGATCATCTCCGGATCTCTGGATCTGTTCATCACCGCCTCTGCCTCTGGATCTGTTAATATGTCGATGTGAATAGGTTAGATGGTTGTGGTTAGGAGATTAGGTAAGGTCATTGTACGGTGTAGTATACGATCCTTGTGTAGCGTGTAGTGTAGTATAATACGTATATTGCTTAATGTAATTGTACATAAGGTAAGATATGTTGTACCTCTTAATTTTCAAGAGGTGGGCAATATCCTTAATAATATAGTAAAGATACTAGTTTATAACCTTTGGTAATTACGGTTAAAAAATTAATTAAACTTTCTAAATAAAAATTTAGAATTATTAATTAATAATTTTAAATAACTTATTAATTAAGAGATATTTTTTTAGTTATATATAAATTTATAATCGTTGATTCAAATAAATACGTAAAATCTTATAATTAATTTGTATGGATTTATTTTATTTTTATTCTAATGTTATTAATTTAATATAATTAAAATAAAATTTGAATTTTGAAATTTAAGATTTGAAATAGATAATCGATAAGTGTCATGATATTAATTACAATGTCTAACATGATGATACATGATAAAAGAACTACTATTTTATTAGTATTAGGTGTGAAACCCGTGTATTACACGAGTTGATTTAAAAAAGATTAAACATTAAAGTGTAAATAAAAAATATTTTTTAATGTACAATTTTAAAATAAGGTGAAACATATTTATTGCAATTCAATATCTTATATATAATATTTAATACTTTACATATATAAGTATATGATTTTAATTTTAAAAAATGAAACAAATAAAAATTTGATAAGTGGATAACATTTATTTCAAAAATTCCATAAAATGATAAGTGTTAAAATTCATAAGAAATTGATATGTGGTAAAAAAAACCTTTATTTGTTAAAAGAGGATAGGAAGATTCATATATTATTTAATAATATAAATGAATACATAAAAACAAAATATGATGCAAAAAAACAATAGCATTAAGCCATTAACAATCTATATTAGACAAAACATCCTAATAAAAAAATCAAAAAGCGTTGTTTTAGTGTTTGAATTCTGTATACCAAAATAAATACCCCATTTGCTAAAAAAACAATCTATACTTAAAAAACAGTGTATTAAAAAAGCCAAAAAGTTTTGTTATTTTCTTGAATTCTGTGTACCAAAATAAAGAATATCCCCTCCACAAATCAAGACATTAACTTAACGTGCCATTCTTTTTATTTTCTTTATTTTTTATTTATAATCCTTTTATTTTTTATTTTCTTTATTTTTTATTTAAAACCTAAAATACTTTAAAATAACTAATTAAAAAATAAATATATATTTACATATATAATAATTAAGTATAAATGATTAATTTAGTTTTAATTAATATAGATTAATAACATATATATTTGTATATTATTTAATAATTAAATATAAATGGATTTTTTTTGAACGGTGGATGTATTAAAATAAATTAGCAAGATGCTAGACAAAATTACATAGGACAAGCATTACATGGGGAGATACACCAAACGAACCAACAAATGAAATTATAATAAGATCTATGTTTAATCCAATTAATTGTGACCAGTTGAATCTCATCAACCGTTTGTAAAGGGGAGCTTCTCCTTTTGTTGAACACCAAAGAATTACGAGCCTTCCAAATTAACCAAACGCACCGAATAGATTAAGGCAAGTTTAAGCTTTTTTCTCTTCTTACTTTGAACAAGTTCATCTAGCTTTTTGATCAACTCCATTCCACTTCCGGAGCAATTCATCAATAAACCACTCCAATCTTGAAACCATTTCCAAATTTGAGATGCAAACGAGCAATGGAAGAAAAGATGATCAACATCTTCATCATCTATGTTGTACATAGGACAAACAACAGACACTAGAGGAATGCCTATCTCTTTTAACTTTTTTGTCACCGGAATACGATTTATGAAAACTTGCCATATGAAGCAATTGATCTTAACTGGGACCCAACTAACCCAATTAAAATCACGTAAAGGGCTGTGAACTCCAAGATGTTCAACCATCAAAATCCTCAACGAGCGGACGGAAAAAATCCCCGAAGCATCAGCTCTCCAAAGCCGAGTATCCAAATTTAGGAACAAAGTAAAACCGTCGATGACATTTTTCAACGCAGTCAGCTCCCTAGCCTCTTTTCCTTTCCTTAGCTGCCTCTTCCAACTTCCTTGAAAAACCGCATCAATGTTTCCTCCTAACCTATCCAAAACCATGCAATCTTTTTCAACATCAAGCTTATATAAACTCGGGAAACTCTCTTTGAGTGTGTAAGTTCCAAGCCATTTGTCCTTCCAAAAATGTGTACTATTTCCAGCTCCAAATGAATACATAAAAACAAAAATATGATGAAAAAAAACAACAGCAATAACAATCTATACTAAAAAAACACCCTAATAAAAAAGTCAAAAAGTGTGTGTTTTTTTCTTGAATTCTGTATACCAAAATAAACACCCCTATTTACTAGAAACACAACTTATACTAAAAAAACACCCTAATAAAAAATTCAAAAAGTGTTGTTAAAAAACACCCTAATAAAAAAATTCCAATAAAATAACACTTACAAATAGATAAATATTATATGTTAAAAATAATATTTATTAGTATATAATAATCCAATAAAAAATAATATAATAAGAAAAAAGTTAAAAAAAAAAAAGATTATTAAAAGAATTAATGTACAATAATTCAATAAAATGAAAAAGAAAAATTGTATAATTGGTCCTTATAGTTTGGTAAAAAGATAAAACTGCAAAAAAGATCTTAGGAGTAAATCTATCATTTACCAAAAGTTAATAGCCATGCTGTTAAACTTAACGAGATAGGGACCAAACCACAATTAAACCACCAAATATGGACATTTTTTTGCTAATAAACTTATTTTTGGACATTAACAAAAAAAAATTAACAAACCACAGGGAATATTTTTGCAATTTTGTCTTCAGTTTTTTAAAACATATAATTTATTGTTTGTATTTTATTTTAAACTATATAACATATAATTTGGTTAGATATCGAATCACATAAATGCTTTAAAAGAGAGAATATTAATTATGAGTATTTTTATTTCATAACTTTTTTGTTCTTTTTGAACATGTCATGCTTTTTTAGATGTGTATAATGTGTCATGCTTTTAAAACGTACATTGCTCATTCATATGACCGTTGAATTTGTTAAAAAAAATTATATATGTAATTTAGTGTTTATACTTTATTTTAGACTATACTAACGTATATATTGGTTAGACATTGAACCAATTATAGACACTTGAAATAAACATATAAATGTTGTGTATTTACTGTTTTTAACATTTTTTTTTGTTGGAATCTCTTTTATGAATGCACATAACATACTTTGAAAATTACTTTCTTATTTTGTTAGTACTTAATTTAGTGTTTGTATTTTATTTTAGGATGTATAAAATTTTATTTTGATGTTCCTCCCGCCTCTGATCCTAAAGAGACTATTTGCTTTTACTATTTGCTGCAGTTTTCCGAGCGCAGCTGCCAGAGATGTTTGGGTCGATTAAGACCGCGATGGTTGAGTACTTTGATGAGCGGTATGCAACTCTAGCAGAGACAGCTGCTGCTGCTGCAGCCACATCAGCTGTAACCGCGACAGGGGTTGGAGGAGGAGCCAACAGGGCTTTCTAGTATCGGGACTTCGATAACACGAAGCCCCTGACGTTTGATGGTACGCAGGATGCGATCTGGGCTATGAGGTGGTTATCTGACATGGAGGGCTATTTCTTCACGTGTTCATGTCTTGCTGACCAGAAGGTCAGGTGTGCCCTGAACCTACTGAGGCTTAGGGCAAAGGATTGGTGGAAATTGATGACATGGTCGTACACTGATGATCAACAACCTGTTGTTACTTGGGGGCAGTTCCGGGATATGTTCTGCACTCGCTACATTCCACGCGTTGAGCAAGAGCGACTTGCTTAGGAGTTTTTGACATTGAGGCAGGATGGGGAGTCAGTGATGGAGATTACTCGTATGTTCACGGAGAGGGATATGTTTTGCCCGAAGTTTGCTTCAGAGTAGTCTCAGATGACTCGTTATCTGAGTATGCTCAAGACTGATATTCGACAGTTTGTTGCTACGCAACATTGTGAGACTCTTTTGGATCTTTGGGAAACTGCGAGGCGGCGTGAGTTGGAGATAGAGCTGCAGTTGAAGGAGCATCGTCAGGTTCCAACACAGTCTTAACCGGCACCTAAGCGGTCCAAGACCGCTGATACTCAGACCGGGGGTCTGCAGAGCCGCACTTGTGGAAAGTGTAGAAGTGGTCATTCTGGGGTTTGTCGAGCAGGAGGTGGTTGCCACAAATGTGGAAAGGAGGGGTACTATGCCAGGGACTGTCGTCAGTCCGCCCCTTCAACAGATATGAGGATTTGTTACCATTATCATAAGGTTGGTCACGTGAAGACCAACTGTCTGCAGCTCGCCGCCAAGCCGGTACACTGATCCGCACCAGCTACTTTGAGGATTGGGGATGGGAGGCCAATCAGGGTGGAGCCTCCGAAGGCTCAGGGGCGCACCTTCCAGCTCATTGCCGAGGAGGCTAAGGTAGCACCGGATGTGGTTGCTGGTATGTTTCTATTTTCTATCTCAGTTATTATATATGTGGTATGCTTATTAGTTGTACCTATGATTTGGTACGTTTTTAGTAAACTCTTTGCCTTCTTTGGTTCTATTTGACTCGGGGGCAA